TCTGACAGTAGATAATATATACATATACAACAGTCTCCCTTGACATCTAGAAAAAGTAGTGGACCCTGCCTTGAAATTTTCAAGCTAGATCTTAACTTTGAAGTTCTCTCACTTCTGTGTTTAGTTGTAATGCTGAAATAATGTTTCCTTAGCTAATCTTTCTTTAATTCTAAGCAGCCCATTTTGTATATATTTATACGGATGGATTTTCTGAGGCATAATCATTTCAATCAAGAATATCAATCTTTAATCCGAAGTTGTATATATAAATAGTTATTCTATTTTTTTCTATCATTGGGGTGTCAATCAGTACTCGGCGAGTAACTTGGAAAATTAACTCAGGACGAGTTAAGGTGCTCCTCTGCAAGGTAAGAGGCCGAGTAGAGAGTACTCGCCGAGTATATAACCCAGATATAGAAACTAAGAACTTAAGATTTTTTGTGAAGATTCTTATGAAAATATGATTGTCCAAGTGTTGCTGTTTAAGATGGTATGTGCTGCATTTTTTCTATTAAATTTAAATTTTATTTACCGCATTGTTTATAGGTGTGTCCTGCATTTGTATATAATAAAAATAAAAATACATTGCTGGTTTGGAAGCACTTTGCAGGTCTGCTATTGCATCTCAGTCAAGCATTGTTGTTTAAGGTGATGGTTAGAAGCCTCTTCCAAGTTCCTTTAAGGGAACCACACAACGATGATCCCTGATGTGATGTTATGGCATATTTGGAAAGCTTTCCATGACTGCGCTTGGGGATAAGGTTGTTCATCTTAACCAGACTATTAAAACCATTGGGGAGTCCATTGAGTTTTGGTGCTCTTGGCTAACGAGAGGCTTAAAACGGAGACACTTTTGAAATAGGTTGGGCTTATTTCCAGGATTTTCAACAACATGAAACCTAAGCTTGGGTACTGGATTAAACTTTTTTTCCTCCCTTCTTAAAGCTTAAATGAGGCAATTTTTTGACATACGGGTAGAATCTTAGGGGTCTTCATACTCCATTCCTAGGCCAGACATACATCTTTCAAGCACTTCAACTGGCGGTCTCTTGGTGTTCAAATATGGGCTTTCACAATATATCAATTGACATTACTTCTCAGGAACTATACAATGACGCGCATTCTACTCTCATCTTGCTGAAAGTAAACCGAACTTCTTTATTATCTCATTATCAAAAGATTGTTGCCAAGATTTTGAAGACATCGGGGAACTCCCAAAGGATCCAGAATGTTATTGTTTTGTATTTTTCTATTCCTTATGTTGTACGATGTTGTACGTAGCATATGACTAAAGGACATTTTTCTAGATAAAAAAATGTAATCCTTTTGCATTGAACAGTCAAAGTTTTCTATTTTTCTAGATTGAACAGATGTACATTTTTCCATGTATTTTCTATTTTATTAATAAGATAATGGGTTCTCAAAATAATACTCCGTAATAATAATAGTACATTTAATCATTTATCATAACCTATGCCTTACAAGTGGAAATTAAAAAAAACTACGTTTCAAAATTGAAATTAAATAGCAATGTTTTGTGGAAATTAGTTTCCCTGAAAGCTAATGCTTTGACTCATTAATTTTGCATATTCAATAAATAACAATTCAATTGATCATGATATGAAATATTGTCAAAATAAGTACATACAATGCATCCACCTAGCTTTCTTATACAACTTTAGTCGTGTAAGTGTGTAAGTAATGTGCAAATTGAGTTAATGTCTAAAGCACTTTTATCACTTAGTATTTATACAATTTTTAATGTATATACACACACACGCGCACATACATATACTCTCTTTGTCCCAAATATTTTGTCATCTTTAAACTTTGACCAATTATATATTTTTTGAAAATTATTTATAATATCAAAATGAAATGAAAATGTTCATTGGTAAAGGTACTTTCATAAACTCAAAGAATAAAATTTGTAACTTCTATAATATTATACTAATCAAAATTATGGTCCAAATTTTATGAAATGACAAAGTTTTAAGGGGTAGAAATAATATAATATTTAATCTGGTTCAACCGATTCAAACGGGAACATTCCAAGGTTTGAATCAGATTGGAACCCGAATCTATAAAAAATCGGGGATCACTCTGGTTTGATCCCACTTTTCGATGTAACCGAAGAAATGTGACGAAGAAAGAAATTAAAAAAATACAAAAATGTTGTCTATAAGGTTTTCATTAGTTTGCAATTTGTGTGCTTATACAACTTCTAATATTTGTTACTATGGATTATATAATTACACTTTCTTATTAGTATGATAAATAATAATATGATTTGTAAATGCTTTAAAATTAATATTTATAATTGATGCATATTACATCCCGTGCAACGCACGGGTGAAATACTAGTTTATGGAATTACATGTGATATTATATGAAGTTACATCTTTTTATAGGCGAATTACATCTTGTTGTCCATGAGTTACATCTTCTTATACACGAGTTACATTTAGACTTGCCTCAACAAGCTATATTTTGCATACACCTAATTTAGATTTTTTAGCATGAGTTACATGTTTTCATAACACGAGTTACATCACTAAATAAATCCATCCATTGAAACCAAAAAATAATTTTTTTTGCAAACAAAAATGATTTTTTTTGGAAAAAAATGATTTTGCGGCAAAAAAATTTAATATTTGTGGCAAAAAATATTATTTTTCTTTGAAACATTTTTATGGCCTTAATACAAAAAACAAAACATACTAACTATTTACGTTAAAAAAATTTAAGCAATTAGACTTCATGTTTTCATTGTTTACATTTGATAGTATATGAAGTTACATCTTCTTATGCGCATGTTACATCTTTTTATGCGTGAATTACATCTTCCTTTACACGAGTTACATTTGGACTTACCTTAACAAGTTACATTTTACATTGACCTAAGTTAGATTTTTCATCAACGTGAGTTACATGTTCTATAACATAAGTTACATCGCAACATAAAGCTCTACTATTGAAACAAAAAAATCATTTTTTGCCAAACAAGGCAAAAAATGATTTCTTTAGCAAAAAAGTGATTTTAAAAAAATATTTTTTGGCAGAACATATTCAGTATTTAAGTAAACACATGCTATTGAAACAAAAAAACGAGTTTTTTGCAAGGGAAAAAAATGGCGGAAAAATGATTTTTTTGCAAAAAAATGATTTTTTGGCAAAAAAAACACTGATATTAAGGGAAAAAATTATTTATGGTCTTAATATTAAAAACCAAACATATTCACTATTTACGTAAAGTAATTGAGCAAATAGACTCCTTGTTTCAAGGAAATCAATGTTTTATTTCTTATAGTTCGTATTAGACAAGTTACATTTGGACTTGCCTGCAATTACATTTCTGATCAGTGTGAATTACATTTCTTTACACGCGAGTTACATTACTCTGCTACTGGACACTGGAAAAACAAAAAATAAGTTACTGTTCACGCGTGAACAGTAACACACATATTTTTGTCTGTGGGAGCGGCATGCTCACGGTGGGCTGCTCCCACGGTATAACAACTGGACAACCTGCTAGTTACCTGTTAAATAGTCAAATTGAACTTTTTTTTACAGGTTCATGGGTTTAATTGGACGATATTTGAGTTGGTGGGCTTAATTGACATTTTTGTAATATTAAGAGAACCTATTTGACATTTTCCCTATTCTTCATGTATAATTGGAAAATTTATGGGCTCTAGGGAAGCAATTGCCCTTGGGCGCATGCCCCTTTGCCCATGCCCTAGGACCGGCCCTGGGCGCATGCCCCTTTGCCCATGCCCTAGGATCGGCCCTGAACATGATAGTCATATTTTGAATCTCAAAATGTTACGTAGACTTTAGACATCTAAAACGAAGTTTAAGCATATTAATTAATTAATTAAGTATAATTAATTGAACTTAGTTCATCTTAAGTATTAGTAAATATAGATGGCAAGGAAAACAAAGATGTCCAAGAGACGACTCCGCTGAGAATTTTTAATTTTTTTATATTTAAAAAGTTATTGATGATTGCACACATGTGTTTAAGCATATAACAAATTAAAGTTTTTGTTTAAAAATAAATTTTCAGAATAAATAAAACTTATACAATTTGAACTCGACTTAAACTCGAACCCAACCCGAATCAAACGATATATTTTTTGACTCGACTCAAACTCGATCTTTCTTCATCAAGCTTGGCTCGAACTCGACTCGCTCTATGGAGAGAAGTGGCAACAATAAGGGATAATATAAAGAATTAAATAATCAGAGCCGTCTAGAGCAATTATGAGACTCTAGAGGGTCATGTAGAATATTTGTTCAAGTATGGCTTATTTTTCATAATATTATGTACTCCCTTCGTCCATAAAATTCTTCTCGATTTGACATGGATTGAAGTTTAACAAAGTGAGAATAAAGTGAAAATATATGGTTGTGTTTGAATAAAAAAAAGATAAATGAATGCTAATCACACAAAACTTTTTTAAAATGAGAAATGAGAAAAAAACTTGAGACATCCCAAAAACGTAAGTGAATTTAAAAAAAAACAGAATTACGTATAAAAAACAGTGCATTGATACTTTAATAGTTTTAGATGCATTATATACTGTGGAGTATATTAACATATTGAGTATATTCTTCCAAAGCAAAACGTCCAAAATTAATAAACAAAAAAGAGTACATTGATACTTTAATAGTTTATTCTTCAAATTTTTTGAAGAGCAAAGTTTGTAAAATATCACTACAATCAAGAGTAGCTAACATTCTTTCTCTTTGTATCTCCCGAAAGGATTTAGGTATTCCAATCAATGAAAATAACAAATTACAATTTCAATACAACAATGCTTAATGTACCCACCCTTATACTCATCTTGTACTTACCATATTTGTGAAAGTTTTTTTGTCTGTGAATAAAGTTCACAGAAAAATATGTGTTATTTTGTCTGTGCAAATTTTGCACAAACAAAAATTGTCTGTGAACGAAACTCATAGACAAAAAAAAACTTTCACAAACATGATTGGGTATACACGTCTGTATAAGAGTGAGTACAAACATCATATTTTATTTCAATATATCAACATATTAATAATATAGCCTTGGTCCCTAGGCCCTACTGCCCTGGCCGACTATAAAAAGACTAAAGCACTAAAAGTAAATATGGAGTAATAAAATAATACCGGAGTAAAACAATTAATCTGAAAAATGAAAATCCCTAAAATCAACTAAAACAATTAGTAATAGTAAAGGTATTCGATAATTCCGATACATAAAGCTTGCAGTCCGCTACTCAATTAGGAGTGCGACTGACCACTCACCGCCTTACCTGCTTGGTTCTCAAGGAATCAAAGGTGTCGTCCGCCCGTATTCGAGTCTCTCACTCTCACCCGATATATTCTTCGACTTTTCATATTCCATTCGATTGTCAGCCTGCAGATTTTTTAGTTTTTTACTATTAAAATTGAAATTATCTATATAATACTAATAGGCCTATTTTAAAAATTGGAGGCCCCTAAGTTTTGGAGGCTCTGGACACTTGTCTAGGTTACCCTCCAATTTGATAAAGTTTGTGTGGCTCTAAATTATTTTTACTTTATTCTTACTTTAGTAATTCAATATCAACCACATAATTTCACTTTTCTTAAGAGCATCACCAATGGACCACCGTTAACATGGAATAAATAAATTATGACACATGGCAATAAATGAATGGATTTGTCATCCACATAATGTAGGAGAGTTGTAGCGTGACGGTGAAACCAAAAAAATGTGTCCAATGCTCCCTGTTAACAAGTCCTATTAGAAGTCATGCGTGAATCATATATTTTCAAAATAAAACTTGGTAATCCACAATATTATTGTTGTGATACTTCTTTATTCACTCATATTTGCTGATTATTCGGATTCTTTCCATGTGGTGAAGAACAAACAAGATAAAAGAAAAGAGGTGTGTGCCTGTATTGAAATCTAGCTCTTACTCAAGGGTCAACTTAATATGACAAAGGAAGAGGAAGCAGTTCAGCCCAGCTGATCGCCGACTCACTCTCCCTTACGTGAGATCTCGAGTTCGAAATTCAATGGAGTGAGTTTCAGTCCTGATTATTCCAGAGTCCAGCCCCCCAGACCCCTTCCCCCAGACTTCCCCTGGAGTAAAAAAAAGTAGGGAAAACTTTCAAATAGGTCCTCGAACTTTCATAAAAAAGTCAATTAAGTCCTTCTATAGGAGACTCTGTCCGGTCGTCGCGATTTGGGGCGGTTCCCGGTGGAATTTTTTGATGGAATTTTTTGAGCATATTATTCATCAAGTATAGTTTATTCATACCAAATTTCAGCTAAAATTTTAATCGGGAGCGCATACAATTTAATTCGAGAACACAAAAATGCGCAGTTATCTTCAAGAATTAATTTGAATGTGTTCCCGATTGAATTTTTAGCTGAAATTTGGTATGAGTAAACTATACTTCGTGAATAAGATGCTCAAAAAAGTTCATAAAACAATTCCACCGGGAACTGCCCTAAATCGCGACGGCCGGACAGAACCTCCTATAGAAGGACTTAATTGACCTTTTAATGAAAGTTCGAGGACCTATTTGACAGTAATCCCAAAAAGTATAAAAAAAGGAAATATTTTTAGAATAGCAGGGGTTTATTTTTAACAAAGGATGAAGCTGAATTGAATGCAAAGAAAACTTCTAGTCTTTTACCTTGAAACGAACATATGTGTAGCTTTACTCAAGAGGGGAAAAAAGAGGAGTGGGTGGGAGATATCATTTTCCCCACTACTTGAACATACTGAGTACATGCATGTCGTGACCGAATTTTTTCAGCAGTATTTCCCCTCACTGTTTGCCGAGTAAGCATGTCAAAGGAACTGTGATAATAAGACGGTGATTGAACTGGGAATACGTTTTTTTGATTTTTGTTTACTTGGAAAAGTAATAAAATAAAAATGATTGAAATAAAAGATTTTTATCAACACAAAGTTCAACCGATAGCAAGTAGGGATAGAAATTGATAACTACTTGTTCAATGCTCATTTGAAAGATATAATGTTAAATTTATACTTAGATAGATTGTGCCAAGTTGCAAATAAATATATATTTTAGGACCCAACACAAGCCATCTAAAATAAGTAACTAGTCAACATTTTCCATTGATGACCAAAACGAGACTACATTTTTAAGTGTAACGACAATCTTAATTATTAACTATATTAGTTATCCAATCCCGTGGTGTAAATAATACAATCAAATAATTAAACTATCCCACAAAACTTCAATCCGGGATGGGGTAAAAGAAGTTTAACGGTTTGTTCAGAAAGTGTTCAATTGTGTATTAACAAACAATATGTTTATGATTGAATACTCATAATATATATCACAAACACAACGTAATTTATGTTTCTGGGCACAACAATCTAAATAGAACAAACTTAACAATTAAAATCAATACGAATTAAAACATGATAAGAACAGTTAATTAACCAATTCCTAGTCCCAAATTTATTTAGTTATACATGTTGGGATGTTTAGAAATAGATGAATTCATGATTGAAGTACAAGATTTAAGAGATTGAGGAAGATCAAACTTGTGATATATGACAATCCTAGAAGCTTAGTTGCTAATCTTGAACTTAATATTGGATGAGAAAGTGATTATTGTGGTTGAAGACGAGTTGATTTGGAGTTGAGAAATGAAGAGAGAAGGGAGAGAAAATATTTCTAGGATGTTTAGAGAGAGGACTGGTTCAAAGATATGTGTAGAATAAGATAAATTAAAGCCATATAATGATAAGATGATTAACCATTATTCTGTTGAAAGATCTGGAATTCATGAACTTATTAAATAGATATACAAGGAATCACACCCATGCTCCAAGAACCACAGATGATTATGCACTCACCTCTAATCATCCGGTATCCACTTTTAACAGTGTAGATCCCTCGGGGATCTCCTTGCCACAAAAACCCATCACTTGTCTTCTTCCTGCTCACTGGTATCAATAAGATGACATTTCTTTCCTCCACTGAAAAAAGGTTATTGATGCGGTCAAAATTCCAGGTCCGATCATCCTCCGTCATAAGAGCAGCCACATTCATGTCAGCAATGCCCGCCGGCGGCGGAGTGATAATCTTGTCGTCCCCATCTCCCGGTAGCCATTTCTCTCTCCAAACAGAGACTCTATGCCCGTTTCCAATCCTCCTCCTTAGCCCTTTCGTCATAACATCTCCAACCTGCACTATACTACTCCATATAAAAGAGGAATTGATCCCCACATCTGCATGCAAAAAAGAATAATTAGGAAAATATCGGGCTTTATAGATTTTTCTTACAAAAGAATCCGGATTAGTAATTAATCGCCAAGCTTGCTTTCCCAACATGGCAAGATTAAAGTATCTCAAGGGCCGAAATCCTAGTCCACCTTTCTCCTTTGGTTTACAAAGTGACTGCCAAGATTTCCAACGAATTCCCCGACCCGTCATATCATTGCCATGCCACCAGTAGGCAGTGCCGTTCATAATCCTCTCTATTTCAGCACATAATTCCTTTGGAAATAAAAAAACATTCATTGCATAGGTCGATACAGCTTGGATAACTGTTTTCAGCATGTTCTCTCTTCCAGCCTTTGACAAAAACTTGTTGTTCCAGCTTTGCAACTTCTTCACAATTCTCTTTTAAAGAAAAGGAGCAAAGCCATAAGCCAAGCTAGCGTGCTGAACAGAAAGTCGCCATCAATTCAAACAGTCTACTTCCACAACTTATCGCGATTTGATGGGAGCCGTTTATGCTTTATTTGCAGGATTTCACTATTGGGTAGGTAAAATATTTGGTCGGACCGCCCTATAAGTGACGGGAGCCCCAAGTAACGAGAAGAGGCCCCCTCCCGTAAAACACCTAGTTGGTTACAAATACTATCCCCTGTCTCCTCACTCACATTAGGACTGAACATGATAGAAGATTTACTATAATTTACTTGTTGTCCCAAACTTAATTCATACTCCTGTAGCAGCCCTTTCACCGCCTTGCACTCCCTGTTCTGAGTCCTGAAAAAGAGGTAGCTATCATCAGCAAAAAACAAATGAGAGACTTCTGGTGCCTGCCTAGCAACAACAACTCCCACAATATTTCCTACAGCTTCCTGACGTCGTATGAGGCCGCTCAATCCCTCAGCAACAAAGATGAACAAATAAGGTGACAATGGATTTCCTTGTCTTAGTCCTCTTTGTGGGGTGATCGGCCCCACCTCACCTCCTGCGACCGGAATATAGTACTCCACTGATTCAATACAAGACTTTATTCTTCTGATCCATCTATCCTCGAACCACATTCCTCGCATAACCATCTCCAAATAGCCTCATTCAACTCTGTCGTAAGCTTTACTCATATCAAGTTTAAGAGCAGCAAGTCCGTCCTTTCCCTGCCTTTTCTTTTTCAGGAAATGTAGGGACTCAAACGCAACCATAACGTTATCCAAAATTGATCTACCCGGCACGAAAGCACTTTGATTAATTGAAACTACATTTTTTAAAGTGCCTTTCAATCTGTTAGCCAATACTTTTGCATAAATCTTATAAACTACATTACACAACGCAATAGGTCGCCAATCACCAAGAGTTTCTGGTTTACCTTTTAAGGATAAGGATAAGATTTGTACGATTAACCTCTCTTGGAACTTGTCCCTCAGTGAACAATTTTTGACAATACCTGACAATATCTTCCCCCATAATGTCCCATTAGTCCTGAAAAATCCCGGATTTAACCCGTCCGGCCCCAAAGCCTTGTTCGGATGCATAGCAAAAGTTGCCCTCTTCACCTCCAGTGTCGTTATTGGCTACATCAAATTTTCATTCTGCTCTCTTGAAACGCGTTCCACCCCTGTAAACAAATCTACTCTCGCACTAGCACCGTTAGACTTAAACAAGTCTTGATAATAGTTATTAATCAAATTATTCATTCTTTCTTGATTTCTTTCCCATTCACCACTAGGTAGCAATAACCCTTTCATTTTATTTCGTCTCCGGCGTTGTTTCACAACATTGTGGAAGAACTTTGTGTTCCTGTCTCCATCTCTTAGCCAAAATTCTTTGGCCCGTTGTCTCCAGAAAATATTTTGTTTCTGTAATAGGTCCACCAGTATGTTCTTCACCCGCTGAAATTCCGCCGCATTCCATCTCCCTCCCTCTCGTTTTAAAGTCGTCAGTCTGCTCTTTCATATCTCAATCCAAGTTTGAAACCCCACTCTTCTCTTTTTGCTCCATAATTCAAGCTCCATCCCACAACCTTTTAGCAGTTGCCAAATTGCCAGATTATTTGAGCTAAATCAAGCTCGCTGTACAACCTCTCTACATTCATCCTCTTGCAACCAGACATTCACAAATTTAAAGGTTTTTGTTCTCTGGTGTAGATCATCCCTACTGATATGAATATATAGCATAAGATGATCACTTGTAAGGCCTTCTAGGGATGTCCTGAGTAGCCACCGAACAAGTTTAATCCTCGTTAGCAAGAATTCTATCCAATTTCTCCTAAATCCATCTTATTGTTTCCCTTCCCCTCTCCCAGGTCCATTGATAACCCTCAAACGGGACATTACACAACCCACTACTCCAAACCGAGTCCCACAAACCACGCATCAGCCATTGTGGTTAGGGTAGCAGACCTCTCCTCTCGCTTTCAAACAAAATATCATTAAAATCTCCCATAATGAGCCAAGGTTTATCAGATGCCCTGGATAGCCTCTTGATCAATTCCCAGGAGTCCCGCCATCTATGCCTCTCTGGATACCCATAATAGCCTCTGAAATGCCAAGATTGTCCATCAACATCCATTCGTATTACACAGTCTATATAGTTGACCACAGAATAAACCACTTCCAAGTCAACCCCGTCTAGCCAGAGGATACACAAACATTCACTACGGCCATCACTTTCCACTACGAACGTGTTTTTGTATCCCAACTGTGATTGCACAACTTTACATCTCTCTCGCTGAGCCTTAGTTTCCATGAGGAAGAGGATACTTGGCCACTTAGACTACACCATATCAATCAGGACCTGCACTCTCACCAAATTCCCCAAACCACGACAATTCCAGCTAACGATTCCCATTCTTCGTCGATCTAATCCACCTTGTCCACCTGTTTCAAGGCTATCTTCTTCTCACGGAAATCTCCAATCGCCCAACCTGCACCCTAATCCTCTGCTAAGGACTAGCGAAAAAGATCTCCGTCAACCAACCTATCTTCCCCTTGCTACCCGGAAAGAGCTGCCGCCAATAATCAGCGCCGTCGTCCACCAAAAACAAGCTTAGACACGCTTAGGGGTGGATTCGGTTCGGGCCACCCGGCCCGTGACCCGGCCCGGCCCGGTACTGTGCGGGCCCGGGACCGGCCCGGTCGGGCGGTCCGGGACCGGGTGTAGACCCGAACCGGGAGGAATGAGCGGGGCAGGCACGGTTCCGGAAAAATGTGACCCGGCCCGGCCAGGTCGGGCCCGGGTCCAGGTCCAACGGTCCTATTTTAAAAAAAAAATTAAATACTTACTAGCCGTTATGGGTGGGCTGGGGACAACCCAAACGGCTATATAGCCGTTGGGTGGGGTGCAGGGGGAGTCCGGGGGGGGGGGGGGTTGGGTGGTGGGGGGTGGTGGGGGTGGGGGTAAAAAAAAATATAAATACTCCTAATCTTAAACATTTTTTCATATCTCTTCTCCAATTCTTCCTAAATCCTATTCTTAACTCTCTAATTCTCCATTCTCCAATATATTATATTTATTATTTATAGTTTATATTAATTAACTACTTATATAAACTATAAATAGATATAAATAGTATTATATTACTTTTATTTGTTATCTAATTATATATTACTTATATATTTATTATATCTATTAATATAGTTGGAATTATATCTAATTAATTTGAAGTCATTCTATTACTCCCATCCGAAAGACCGAAAGTCCGAAAGAGGTACGAAATTATTCTATTATTTACACTTGTTTAATTTTGTATTAACGTTACTTGAAAAAAAAAACTAGTTAATTAGGTTGTACAATTTGCTATAACTCGAATTAATAGTTAGATTAATAGTTAATTACTTTATTACAATTTTTTATTAATTGCTAGTTGCTACATTTGACTCTAGTTTAAAAAACTAGTTGTAATTCTAATTATAGTTAAAGTTAAAGTGTATTAATTTCATTGTTAGTAAAAAAAAATGTTGTACACAAAATTAGTTAATTCACTAGTTAATTTGCTATAACTCGAATTAATAGTTAGATTAATAGTTACTTACTTTTTTACAATTTTTTATTAATTGCTACATTTGACTCTAGTTTAAAAAAATATGTTGTACACAAAACTAGTTAATTCACTAGTTAATTTGCTATAACTCGAATTAATAGTTAGATAAATAGTTAATTACTTTTTTACAATTTTTATTAATTGCTACATTTGACTCTAGTTTAAAAAAATATGTTGTACACAAAACTAGTTAATTCACTAGTTAATTTGCTATAACTCGAATTAATAGTTAGATAAATAGTTAATTACTTTTTTACAATTTTTTATTAATCGCTACATTTTTTAGATGGATCGTCCTAGATATTCGGTTGATATGGGTAACCTCGAGCGCAACCGAACGAAAGAGCTTGCGAGGAAGAGATCCCGCAAAGGTAAATCACATATCAGCTCTTCATCTCAAAGTCGAGATGATTTTGATATGGGTTACGTAAGGAGGGATGAGGATGCGATGACCGACGAACAACTAGAACAAGAATTGCACCGACATAATTCCCGCTTTTTTCAAGACCAACCGAGGACTATTGACGAAGAAGAGCTCGAGGACGAGGACGACGATGTGGAGGAAGTAATTCCGGAGAGCCACGACGACGAGGAGGAGGAGGGTGGCGGCAGCCATGACGCCGACCAACCTGCCTCATCCCAAACAGGTACAAAAAAAAGTAAATCTGAACTAATGGCTAATAATCTTTCTAAGTGGAAGGGCCCGAACACCTGGAATTGGATCGCAACTTGCAATTGGTGCAAGAAAAACTACAGCTTGGGGATATCCGGCGGATACGGATTCGCCACAAGACACCTTAAGTCCAAACACCCGGTGGAGTATGCAAAATTAGGCGGCAGAACGGGGAAGCAAACGCAAATATCGAGGTTTGCAAATAACCAACAAGCTTTTGGTAATTTCTCATACAATGATGCACAAAATTTGACAGTTATGACTAACTTACTTGTTGAAGAAAATTTGCCTTATTTGTTTTCTGAAAGTCTTGCTTTTCGTGATTATGCACAAACTTGTTTAAATCCGCAATATAGATGTTATAGTCGCAAAACGGTTAAGAAAGAAATTTCAAGGCTTTATGGTGCGGAAAAGGTATGGTTACAAAATTATTTTGCAAACTTTGATGGACGTGTTACTGTATGTTCTGACATATGGGAGGATACTTATCATAATTTACATTATTTAGGTCTGACTGTACATTATATTGATAATGATTGGCATATGCATAAACGTGTTCTTGATTTCCGTGAATTTAATGATCGTCACACCGCTGAACATATTTATATTTTGATTGAGCGTATTTTAATTGAGTATAATTTAATTGATAAGGTGTTTGCTATTGGTTTTGATAATGCTACTAATAATACTGCTGATATTCCTAGATTGTGTGAATTGTGTGGTTCTACTTCTTTGATGGGTAGATTTTTTCATCAACGATGTGCATGTCATGTTCTAAATTTATGTGTGCAAGATGGTCTAAAAGCGTTGGGAGCATCGTTGGAGGTAGTCAAGGGGGGGATTAGACGTATTTGGGGTAATTGACAACTTAGGAAAAAATGGCATGATTATTTGATAGAAAGAGGTGAGAGATATGTGGCCTTTCCTAAAGATTTGTCTATTCGTTGGAATAGTACCTATAAGTTAATTGGAGTTCTTCTTAGATATAAACAACATTTTCCTGCTTTTATGAAACAATATGATAACTATATTATAAACTCGGCTGAGATCGACACCTGTGAAAAAATTTGTAATACTTTGATATATTTTAATAATGCAACTGAAACATTTAGTCATGTTTATAAACCTACCTCAAACCAATTTATTCGTGAAGCTGTTAATCTCGCCGGTGCTTTTTCAAATTTTGAGAATGCTGATTATGTGAGTTATTTTGCTAGTTTTATGAAGGAAAAGTTTTTAAAATATTATTCACATATTCCGCATATTTATGGTATTGCATTTGTTCTCGATCCTCGTTTTAGACTTGGTTCTTTAGAAGAATGTTTGAATTATTATTATGCTGCTTTTTTTGGTCCATTGCCAATGTATGAGGACAACCCAATTGATCCGAAAAAAGAATACAACGAGGTTAGTGATATATTTTATGCATTATTCAATGAGTTTCATGCACAATATGGCAATGCGCCCTCTCCCCCGACACAAACATCATCTAAAGGAAAATCAATTTTCAAATCTACGTTTGCCAATCTTATTAAAAAACCGAAATCAACTCCCGCTACACAACAAAGCACAATTAATGAGATTTCTTTGTATTTAACTTATGATGTTGATTTTGAAGAAGATTTTGACGTATTAAATTGGTGGAAGGGAAAAGAAAGAATGTTCCCCGTTTTAGCAAAGATGGCTATGCAAGTGCTATCAATGCCGGTTTCAACGGTTGCCGTGGAACAAGAATTTAGTTCGGTCGGCAATGTCCTAACACAAACCAGAACGAGGTTGAGCGCTGAATCTCTTGAGATGCTTATATGCTACCACGATTGGTTGAAAGCAGCCCGTAGAGACGTAGAGCTCAAGAAATTGACATCACCCCATCCCAACACTTTATGGATGAATCTACAACCGAGGGTGGCTCTACCTATGCCGGAGATTCCGATTGAATGATTGATTAGTATTTCATGTTTTAAAAACAATTGTAGTTCCTATTTAATTTTGAAATGTAGTTCCTATTTCATTTCAAATAAATGCACTTGAAGTTTGTTTTTTAATACTTGTATAAAACTATAAAGTATAAAATATAAATTATAAAAAAAAAAATTAACCAACCCGGCCTGGCCCAGGCGGGTGGCCCGGCCCGAACCGGACCCGTCCAACCCTCGGGCCGGTCCCGGGCCCATATGATACGAACCGGCGGCCCGACCGAGCCTCGGCCCGGCCCGGGCCCGACCCGGCCCGAATCCACCCCTAGACACGCTAGGGCATCCGCCAGTACTTACACTACTATGTATTATATAATTATATTAATACATACACTTAGTAATGCTATACAAACATTAAGTAATTAAATATGAATGATAAAATAATAATAATGATGATGATGATGATGATGATGATGATGATGATAATAATAATAATAATAATAATAATAATAATAATTATAATAATAATAATAATAATAATAATGAAATTGAGTATTATATAAGAGCATAGTAATAATAATCATTATTAATGCTTAACCTAATATTACGACTACAAATTATATTCAATATCAACTATTTCATGTCCTTGTATGTGAGGTGGTAAAACAATTAAGTAATTAACGCAAGAACAGGCCCCATACAGGCTCTAAAAAAACTAGATCATAGTATCATACAAGTGATACAACCATTTGCACAGGTAAATAGTTTTACTTTTTGGTTTCTATAGTTTATATATGTTCTTTAAAGTTCAATACATTCAAACAAGCATGCCCTGAACATCAACCTGGACTAATTTATTTTGAGGTGGGTTAGGGATTGACTAGAAAGTACAAAACATTCAAGTTTTACAGACTATTTCAAAGGCAAGCTCATTTTCCAAGTTTCAACAATCCTGGCCGTTTGTAATTTCACATAATGAGCCCTACTTTCCATTGGTGCTCCCATGCTTGTGAAATGGCCAAAGGTTTACCAAACGCTCTAACACCGCACTTTTTGAGAAGTAGCCTGAAAATCCTTGAGGGGTTGATGGAGGTGGGAAATCTTCAGCAGGCATGGCAAAGGGACGAATCATTGTTTCCACCTTTTCCAATGTCAGATATGATCCGACTTCTTGAAGCCTTTCAGGGCCCATTATTGGCAATGTGTGCTCCTGACGCCACGAAGTTGCCTCTATGTCTTGTTTCTGCAAAATCATATAACAGTTTCTTTTTACAAATATGTAGAGTACGTAATCGCTTGAAAATTGGGATTAGCAATGTTAGCAAAAAATTAAACTGTTTTTCACCTTTTTGCTTAAAAAAACTAAAACTAGTGATTTTATATAGGAACTCCGGACTAAATTAAGTTCTTTAAACCTAGAAACAAGGAGGGGCTCACTTTAAATTGTGATTCAATTTTTCTATTACATAAAAAAACATTTTTTACCAAGTACTCCAACTTTTATTTTTCCAAAATCATTTTTCTTTTCCAACTTTTATGTAATAGAAAAAGTGAAACACAATTTAAAATGAGCCTCTCCTTGTTTCTAGGTTTAAAGAACTTAATTTAGTCCGGAGTTCCTATATAAAATCACTAGTTTTAGTTTTTTTAAGCAAAAAGGTGAAAAGCAGTTTATGAGAACATGTTTCCGTATCTAAGTAGAGGGACTGGGGTCCCCTATAAGTGCTTTATGAGCATGTTTCCATATCTAAGTAGAGGCAAAAACTTGTTTGCCTATAAGCATTTAAAGCACTTCTCTAATTAGGTACTTTTCAGAAATGGTTGAAAAAGGTTTTCTGAACTTATAAAAGCAAAAATCATCGTTATAAACAACAACAATTAAGTTTTAGGCCCAAAATCATTGTTACTTCAATAAAATAGCAACATATTGCTTCACAACGGGAAGCTTAGAATGGGCTATCCCGGGCTCTGGCCCATCATTATTTTGGCAAACATATAATATAGTGTGAGATTTTAACACTAAAAGTTTATACAGATGAACTGTTTTTCTGGTCCAACACATGGTGTGTTGGACAATTAAATTAAACTTGGAAGTTGGAAGAATATAAGTCTTTTGATATTCCTTGTAAGTTTCTAGGTTCATTTAATGACCAAGATATATGAAGAGTCTTTTGTTAATTCTAGATTAATAATTGTCTAGGAATGTGAAAGGTCTAGAATGTGAAGGGTTAGATCTCTTGATTAAGAGAATTCATCCTATAAATAGCCGATCCCTCCATTGTACGAAGAATGCCAAGTGAATGAAATATTATTATCCATTTTAGTCTCAATTCCCTCCATTTATCTCTACAAATTGGTATCAGAGACCGACGATCAATATGAACAACAATATTCCTCTTTCTTTTATCCCTCAATTAAATAAAGAAAATTATACAAAATGGAGTATCCGAATGAAGGCTCTTCTTAGATCTCAAGAAGAATGGGAGATAGTAGAAAAGGGATACACTGAAGTGGAAGATGAAGAGGCATAAACGCAAGCCCAAAGAAAGAATCTAAGGAGATCGAGGAAGAAGAATCAACAAGCCCTATTTTGGATATACCAAGGAGTGCAATCTTATGAACCTACCTGGGAGAAAATAGCTTCTGCCACTTCGGCAATGGAAGCATGGCAAATTTTGGAGAATTCATTCAAGGGAAATGAAAAGGTGAAAAGGGTTCGACTACAAACCCTTCGAGGGGAGTTTGAAAAATTACGTAAGACAGAATCACAATCAATTTTAGATTATTTTTCACGGGTATTACACGTAGTTAACCAACTAAAAACAAATGGTGAAACTATGGACATTACTCGTGTGGTTGAGAAAATTCTTCGCTCCTTGGATTCTGCATTTGACTACATTGTGGTAGCCATTGAAGAGTCAAACGACTTGAGCACCATGACGCTTGATCGACTCTCTGGATCGCTAGAAGCACATGAAGAAAAACTAAACAAGAAAAAGGAGGTGACGGTAGATCAAGCGCTCCAATCAAAGTTGACTCTAGATGAAAAGAGGAAGAACTCAGAAGTCATGGAGCAAATTGTGGTCGTGGAAGAGGAGGAAATTTTAGAGGAAGAGGTTAATATTCTCATAGAAGAGGATCTCATGCCAACCAAGAGAAGGGATGGAGTGAAGCAAATTAAAGTTGAAACTTTAGAGGTTCACAAAGAGGACGAGGGCGTGGATTTCAAAGAGGAAGAGGTCGTGGCTATTTTGAATGCTATAATTGCCAAAAACCCGGTCACTTGGCAAGTGAATGCTGGTATAAAGAGAAAGGAAGACATGACACCAGATTGGCATGTGGAGGAAGGAACGAGGAACACCAAAGTCAAGACATGTTGTTGCTCGTGGCTCAAGGAGATGATCGTGAAGATGTTTGGTACCTGGACAGTGGTGCTAGCAAGCACATGACAGGTAATAAGTATCTATTTATGAAACTCATTGAAGGAAACTACAGAGAAGTTAAAGCAGGAGATGAAAAGTCATACAAAGTTTGTGGTGTTGGTGAATTGGAGTTCAAGACAAAACAAGGAAGAATTGAAAGAATGTCAGAAGCTCCTGGCTTAAAGAATAACTTCCTTAGTGATGGTCGTCTTTTGAGGAATGGATATGATATTCACTCCCAAGATATGGCATGTTTCTTGTCAAGAAAAAATCAAGTTGTTGCTACAATTGGAGTTGCCTCAAATAACTCATTCTTAAAAAACGAGACATGTCATGTTTTATTGGTGGTGACATAGGAGTGTCCAAGTTGAGGCATGAGAGATGACCACCTAAACTATGGAAGCTTGGAGATGTTTTCTAAGAAAATGATGAGGTTTGCCAAAGATTGACCGTCTTGACAATGTTTGTGAATCTTGTTAGCTTGGAAAGCAACACAGACAACCTTTTCCTTCCCAAACTCCATGGAGAGCAAAAAGACCACTCCAGCTAGTTCACTCATCTCTGTGGCCCGATGTCAGTTCTATCTTTGGGAGGTAATCACTACTTTATCTCTTTCATTGTGATTACAGATTACTCACGAAAGGTTTGGGTTTATTGTGTAAAAGAAAAGTTGAGAATTTTACTGGGCTAAAAATCAACACCCTGCGGACAGATCAAGGAACGAATATTTTTCAAATGAATTTGAAAAATATTGCAAAAACAGTGGGATCCGTCATGAGTTGACAGCTCGTCATACACCACAACAAAATGGGGTGTGCGAAAGAAAGAACAGAACAATCATGGAGATGGCGAGATGTCTTCTCAACAAGAAGAAATTATCAAGGGAGTTTTGGGCTGAAGCCGTTTCTTGTGCAGTTTACCTTATTAATAGGTCACCTACAAGACGTTTGGCAAATTGCACCCCACATGAAGCTTGGTATGGACGAAAAGCCTAGTGTTCATCATTTGAGAGTGTTTGGAAGTGTTGCCTACTCTCATATTCCAGATGCAAGAGGAGTAAGTTGGATGACAACTCAGAGAAATGCGTTTTTATTGGCTACAGTGAAAGGAGTAATGCATATAAGTTGTACAATCCAGTGACAAAGAAGGTTGTGATAAGCCGGATGTTCGTTTTGATGAAAGCTCGGTGTTCGGGGAGGTGAAAAATGTGAAATAAATTTTTTCAATTTCTCCATTTGAAAATAAAGAAAAAAGGGGGGCAACATTTGAAGATGAAAGAGGTGATCACACAAAGAAGAAACAATGTTATTTTCAAAGAAGAAATTTGGAGGAGAGCCATGAAAGAAGAAATTGACTCAATTGAAAGCAATGAGACGTGGGAGCTCACAGAACCCTATCGAAGTAAAATGGGTGTACAAGACAAAGATGAACCCAGATGGCTCTATCAACAAGCATAAGGCAAGGTTGGTGGCAAAAGGGTACACGCAGAAGGAAGGAGAAGATTTTTCCGAAGTGTTTGCTCCGATTTCACGACTTGAGACAGTTCATCTACATATTCCTTTTGTTGCCCAAAATAATTGGAAGTTG